TACACCTTTTTCTCCCCAGAGTCAAGCATCATAGCTATTTTACGACCATCAAAGAACTTTGAGGTGACAGATTAATTAAATGTCCACAACATCTTTTAGATTTTTCTGTATAATGCTAAATATAGCTTCTGAGCCCCTTTCACCTTGTTTCAAGGCCTTTCTGGCTCGATGAGATGTAGGCAAGCTGACTGCACAGAAGGAAGTCCCCAGTTACTCATCTTTGTCTTTGGGGTCTGGAACCCAGATGATGAGAGAAGTCTAATTTGAGGAGTTACCCAACAATCTATTTTCAAATCGGCAAACTCTGGCCTCCTTTAGTTCCTCTCTTCCTACCCTTTACCTACTATCTACCTCCAACACATCAGTGATATTTGATTGCAATAACTCATTTTAACTGGAATTAAATGTGCAGTTAAAATTTGATTGCAGTTAATCAAATATAACTGCAATTAAATTTGATTAATTAATCAAATTAGTGAAATTTAACTAAATTAGTTTCAGGAGCTATTAGCTCTGAAGCTAATAGCAAAACTTGCATTAGACAAAACATAAAAACACAACCTCACTGATTTTATCAAAGTTTGATTTTAGTGTTTGGTCTAGATGTTACTTTGTGTGATTAATATCACACAAAGTACTACTACTAAGATTTTAGTTACCGTTTAACTAGAATCTTCAGCATGGGAACAATGGGATGATCTCGTGTTATTTTGACAAGCTTTAACATCAGTCATGCTCACATATTCTGATTGGTTATTTAAACATAGAGAATCTGAGACATCTAGTTATGTGTTGCTGTTCTTGTCATGTTGGTCTTACCAATTTGCTATGGTTGAGAATATATTATCAATGAACCTTCAAACATTTATTACAAGAATAGTAGAAAAGACTGTTTCCTCCAGCATCTCATAAAAACCCCCAAAAACCCATGAAGTGGAAAAAAAATGATGTGATTCATTATACCTACATCCCTACAGGTTTAGAGAGGCCTGGATCTAAACCTGTCAACTGGTGAAAAACGGTGTAGTGTGATGTCTTCAAAGTATTTCCTGGAAAATGCAGTTTGGAAAGCAATTCAACAAACATGAAGCTACCTGCATTACCTAGTTG